TCCCTCTCCGGGGCTGTGGCCCTGCCCCGCTCCCGCACCGCCCGTTCCTCCCGCAGGGCCGGTGCCTGTTTGCCAGCGGCAGCCCCTTCGAGCTGGTCACTCTGAAGGACGGCAGGACCTTCAAGCCGGGCCAAGGGAACAACGCTTACATCTTCCCAGGTAATGAACGGAGCTGTCCCAGCCTGGCCTCTGGGACTGGGCTGCCTGCGCCTTTCCTTTCCCTGGGTTCCCCTGCGGCGCGGGCACAGCTGCTGAAGCAGCATGCAGAGGTGCTGCCCGAATTTGGGAGCTTGGAGGAGGGAGTGGCTGGATGACAGACTGTCAGTCCAGGCTGGATGCGGGGCACCTGTGAGCAAAGCCAGCTGGATGCTGCTGAGAAAACAAAAGGCTGTTATTAAAGGCTTTGGAAGCTGCTCATTGTGGTTCTGCTGCTTGTCTGGGGAGGAAAGCAGAAAAAAACGTTAACACGCACTTGAAGTTGTGTTCGTAACTCTCAGAGTCGGTGGCTCTTATGCTGTACCTGCACTAGGGGCGTAGGAAAGTAGCACGGGGGTGTTTGTGTGCCTTCCCCTTTCGTGCCTGAGCTGCAGAGCTCCAGCTCCTTCTGGGAGCGCCGCTGTGGCCGAGCTGCGAGTGTCACAGCCGTCCCCGCGCGGCGCAGGGCTGGGGGAGATGGCTCAGCCCGGGGCGCTGCAGAAGGCTGCGGGGAGGTTTCTGGGGTGATGCTGAGGTGGCTGGCAGCTCCTTGCACAGGCTGGGTGTTGGCAGCGTGTGCTGTCCTTGCAGGCGTGGCGCTGGCTGTGATCCTCAGCAGTGTGCGGCACATCAGCGACAAGGTGTTCCTGGAGGCGGCCAAGGTGAGCCAGGGGCAGGGCAGCCTGCGGCTCCCGACACGACTCGGGTGACTTTTCTCAAATCCGGGTGAAACACACTGCTTTCCTGTTTGGTGTCTGTTGGCTTGTCCCTCTGTCAGCGTTCAGGAACACAAATTATCACCGGATGTCATTATATACAGGGGATTTTATTGAGGGCTCTGGGAGTCAGGGTACAGACCCAAATCTGACTCCCACACAGCTTTCGAGCTGAACCTATTCTATATTCTATCCTTATATAACTTATATATTAATTTGCATATTAATTATTAAATTTACATTGTTCAGGAACACA